AGCATAATTGCCATGACTTATACCCCATGACATTTGATAATAACAAGGTTGGTACATTACAAATAAGTTCCACATTTACAACTCTGCCTTGATATTTACACTTATTAAATTGTTTAGGGAGGTGGTTCCTGGATGCTGGAGGCCCATATATAAAACATATTAGCATAATTGGAGTACAGCCAACTCCCTCAGTGTACATTGCAGATACTTGTTAAAAGCTTGACCTTGGAGGAAAAACCTTCCTCCCCGTCTTCAATCAGTCATGAGCTCCTGAAAGTACTCCTCTGAAATCAACTTCCAGTGATGCACAGTTCAGGGAGCTTGTCCTCAATGCTGACCTTAGGCAGGCCCTCCGCTCCCAGGACAGTGATGAAAGCTGTGTTCTCACCTGGATGAGGAAATTAGCTATGATTTTCCATTACCTGTACCAAACATTCCTTTTCATTTGTTTAATTCACCGAGAGTTGACACTACACATTAATTCATTGAGCAATTGCTTTGTGTAAAGGCCCAGAGATGAATGAGACAGGCATTGCCATCAAGAAACTTACACTTTAGTCAAGGACACAGACAACTAACTCTAGAAGAAGGCAGAATGAAATAAGGGCCTTAATAGGAGAATGAACAAATTGCGGTGGGAGCATAGATAGCACAATTTATTTTAATGAGGAAAGGAAAATTAAGGAAGGCTTCAGAAAGGCGGCATTGGTCCTTGAAGGATTAATCGGAGAAAAAGGGTGAAGTTGGGCGGTGAGGTCATACGAGTCAGAGTAAACTGCATGTATGTAAAATGACATGGAGGTATATACATGTTTGGGGATGTAATCATATGTTTGCTGGTTTATCACTGACAAGCCCCAATGATCAGTCTAGCACTCTGCATGGCTGGAGTGACGGCAGAGGGGCTTGAAAGTTACATTTGAGTCTGCTCCTGGAAACTCTGGCGCCATACTAGTTTTGGTAATTAAGGGGAAAAATCAAAATTTTTAAGCAGATCAAGAAAGGCATTTTAGGAAGCAGTCTCTAGCATTGTGAAGGGTGGGTTGAAGAGATAAGAGACCGTAAATAGGGATACCACCTTCTGTGCCTGATATTAGGGGAGAGGGAATAATACAAAGATGCTTCTGGTATTTCTAGCCTTGGAGACTGGGAAAAGCGTAGTGTCCGTAATGAGATGGGTAACCTGCAGAGAAGGATCAGCTTGCTGGAGAAGAACATATTTGGTAGGGAATATTACTGAGTTTAATGTGTGAGCTATCCTTCACAGAGGGAAGGTGGTCCTGGGGTTCCAGTAAGATCTTGGTCATCTGCTCTTTGGAAATTGTCAAAGCCATGGATACGGCTAAGATGACCCTGATGGTGGGGAGAATATGAATGAACGCTGGTGACACTACCTATATTCAGGGTTCATGCAAAGACTGGGAGAAAGTAAGCAGGATGAGGATGAAGAGGAACAGGAATGAAGAACTTTCCAAATGGTGGGAGAAAGGTGTACTTTGTGCAAGACTGGGAGAAAGTAAGCAGGATGAGGATGAAGAGGAATTCATAGGATTTGGCAATGAAGTGATCAGCAGTAGCCTGGAAGGGGAGAGATTCACAGGAAGGTTGCTGTTGCTTAATCAGATAGAGGAGACTTGAGGATGCTTAGAGACTGAGAGGAAATGAGATGATGGAATAATGGATGTGAAAAGCGAAAAGTCCTTTCAAAAGTACAAAGCACCACACAATACAAGGTCACCGCAAGTCAGCTTTTCATCCCAGATGCTCTGGAGTCAGAAGGTCATTGACATCTAACAGATGCTTTGATTTTTATCATTATACTGAGTTCTGCTAAAGGGGGCTTTATTCCTGACCCCTTTCACCGCCCCACCAAGCACCATGGTAAATGCTACCAGTTGTTTAGCCGGGTGAAATACTCATTATTTGATTTTTGTCAGCAAGTCTAGGCCACTCTGCTATTATATGTCATAGGTTTCCAAGAACTGTTCAAGGAGAACATTCATATAGTATTTGGTTATTTTCAATGCTATTCTCATTGTGATATTCAGGTTTTTGTAGAAAAACAAAGGGCCAATAACACAAGGTATCTGTGGGGTGGAGGTAAAATGGAGCAGATTCACAAACCAGATCCCCTTCTGAAACAAAAGAATAGTAGCTAAAATAAAGCCATACGGTGTTGCATGTGCCCAGCCGTTGAATGTATTGAGAAGGGAAACCTTATGGTTCTTTGATTAGAAAGGTATTCAGTATAAAGACAATAGGCCTGGGTAGACTTTAAAAATCTGAGAAATCCCTGAGAAGATAGAAAAATAGGAGAATTTGCTGTTCTTTTAGAGAAAAATAATTGTTCAAACACCTCTTACATGTACGGTTTCAAATATTAACCAGACACTTAAGAAGTCTTAGCTATGAACTAATTAAAGCTTGTCCCATAAATTTGACTTCATCCAAATGCCTTTCTTTCCTGTCCTTACAAGACCAAAACTAAATCAGTACTTTTTAACGTCCACTCAATCTTTGTCAGTTTTTCATTTTTTGAACAGCCATTCAGTGTTTTGACTTTCAGTCTTATTGAAAAGAAAAGAGAAGGGTTGTCACTAAATAAGTCCTTGTGCAGAATCACGTTCTCCTGCCTGCTCTGTGTCTCCATGACTTGATGCTTCTTGAATATAAGGCTTGTACGAGCCATTCAACAATACAGATAAATAACAGGATCACAATCGAGTGTTGGAGCTGCTGCTGTGCTTATCCAGGGTATCACTGCAAAGATGAGCTCTTCTTTTTATGTTATTTATTTTTATTTCTTAATGGAGGTACCGGGGATTGAACCCAGGACCTCAGCATGCTAAGCACGCACTCTACCTCTGAGGGCTCTACTGAGCTCTCTACCTAACCACCCGCCGCCGGCTCTTCTTGTGTTCAATTTTTCTGTTGAACATAGCTCATCAGTCACTCAGGCCTGCAAGCTTGGTGTCAGATTTGAACCCCTCCTCCTCATACCATCCACATCTAATTGATTGCCAGTTCTTTAGATGCTACTTGGATCTGTCCCACTGATGCTACCTACTATTGGCCCTCGTTAATTATCAAAGGCATTATTGCAGGAAAAAAATTATTATTGCAGTGGCCTCCAATAAAGTCAGCCTCCTGTGACCTCTCCCCTCTGTCCTACACACAGCTTCCGGCATCTTCTTCCTGAAGTGCTGCATGTCATTTCTTTCCTCAGAATCTCTCAGTATTTCCCAACGTTTATAAAATCAAGCCCAAACCACACAACCAATGCTGCCTTTCATGGACCTTACATTCTAGTCCAACTGAATTGTTCCATATTCCTTGCATACGCATATCAATGTTTGTGCTTCTGCTCATGCCTTCCCTCCATCCTCAGAAAGATGTTAAGTTCCTGAGAAGTTATGAGAATGAGGGACCACATCTGTCCGGTTCACTTTGTGTTCTCAGGCCCTAGCGTTGGGTTGGCACACACAGTAGGTGCTCATTAAATTCTGACTGAATAAAAGCTTTACGTGTCTAAATCTGCTTATGCTTTAAATTGCATTTCAAATACCACTGGTGCCAAAAAGTCTGTCCTGATTCTTGCTTTCCATCTCAGTACCTACCTCACCTCACCTCTTTAAAACTAAGTGAATTTTTTCTGAATTCCCTGCAGCCTTCTCTGTACCACTGTTATGACATTGATCACTCTTTCCACCTTGAATTACGATTCTTTTTGTACATGTCCCACTTCTCAGTAGACTGTGAGATCCTTGAAGACAGGAGCTAGGTTGAATTCATAATTGTGTCCTGAGAAGTATGTCCATTGAATGGGCACTCAGTGATTAGAACGGCCACACTGGAGCCTTTAGCAATGTGGAGAAGTTGAAGGCTGCTGCTGCTGCTTTCTAATAATATGGTAAGTAAGAGCTCTTGTGCTTTGCTCATACACATCAAAAGGTGAACATACTGTCCGGACCTCAGCCAAAATATAGGTAAAAATACTGGCTGAACCTCAGTTAGTCAAGATATAAGGTCATCATGGCTAAAGTCTGAACTCTGGCTAATCTCCAAGAACTAAGAACAAAGTCATGATTCGTACAATTCATAAATTTGCAAGTTGTTTTTCCCTGCAATGGATACTAACTGTAATAATATTTTATTTGTGGACTGGGACTCTAGACATCTAAATAAATTCAGTCTGTAAATGGGATCTTTGGCTATAGCTTTCTTATTACTATAAATCAAAACTGTGCACCATATTATATGCATTGCATATATATCAATTTCCAGATTTCCACTTTCCTTTGAGCTCTTGGCATTAAGCTCAAATTCCCCTAGTTGCAGAGACTAAGGTTTTCAGACTCTCTACTGAAGAGTCTGCTTACTTGGGTATCTGGGGGAGAAAAAGCCAATGTAATTGATTTTTGGAGTGAACTATTCCAAGGGAAACAGTAGTGTTGCGGGGTACTTGGGACCATGTTATTTACAGACCTGGTTATTACTTTGTCCGTCTTTAGGTCAGCCCACCTCTGATGAGACTTCTTTTGAAAGCCCTCCAGAGAATAATTATCTACAGTCCTTTATTATTAATTCTAGATTTTTACCCCTCTGAGCATTTGAAGCATATTTATGTTCATTCTATAATCAAGGTAAAAAAAAAAAAACACCCAAAAATCCCCCCAAAAAAGCTTTTCTGTAGAAAGTTTCTCTGGAGAATGTAAATCACTTTTCTGACATTTCTAGACTCTTAAGTGGTGCAAACATCTCTCCACTACTCCGGCAAGAAGTGCTAAAGAATACTTAAAGAAAATCTTATGATTCCCACAGATATGTGTGTCTTTGAATATATCCCATGATTTCCACCCAGCCACGTCCTTATAGAAATACTTTTGTACTTCTGTTAAGTTGAAGCGTCTCCTTCTAGAGTGTTCTTACATCCCGTCTTTATACTTCAGTTTGTGCCATTTCACTCATCCTTAATATTAATTGTCATAGGCAGCACAACATTTAATTTAATCTTAACTTTATTGAATAAGTAAGTATGCATGACAGATAAATTGCAAGTCATTCTTGGTCCTGCAAAGAGACAGGTGTTTATTCCGAGGCAAAATGAGAACATGAATCCACAGTTCTGCTACTACTGAAATACTTCTTCTGAGTGTCTTGGTATGGGCACAGCCTCCCTCAGTATCCATTCAAACAAGCTCTGCTGTCATCTCTCCTTTCAGCTGAGGGATTCACAATATCTAAAATAAACTTGTGAAGAACCTTTCTGTATCAGAGGTAGTTTTATACCTACATTATTAATCATAGAAGACGTTTGGTCAAAGACTCCATAAAAGGGGCAGAAGAGATACACCAGAGCTCAGAACTGGAACCAATTATTTTTTCAAGCTAATTGGCCATAGTAACAAAAGTATCAACTGAATTTTAGAATAGCCTGTTCAGCCATTTAACATCAAAGCATGCAGTAGCCTGTGCATACAATAGCTTTTAGAGACAACCTTGAATTTGGCTTGAGCACCAAGGATGCATTTTAAAAAGTGAAAAGTACATTTATGTGCAATGACTAGTGTAGTGAGCTGACTGGTGGCTCCCCAAAGATACGTCCATGTCCTAATTCTCAGAACCTGTGACGTTACCTTATTCTGAAGAAGGGTCTTCACAGATGTAATTAAAGTTAAGGATCTTGAGATGAGGAAATTATCATGGATAAACTGGTGGGCCTTCTCTGATAGCCTTCAGAGGGAGTGCAGCCCTGCCAAGACCTCAGTTTAGGACTTCTGGCCTCCTAAACAGTAGGAGAATAAATTTCTGTTGTTTTAAGCCACCATATTTGGAGTAATCTGTTCCAGCTACCACAGGAACAAAATACAGATTTTGGTATCAGGCAGTCAGGTGCTGCTATTAAAAAGACCTAAAAATGTGGAAGTGGCTTTGGAATTAGATAATGTGTAGAGGTTGGAAGAATTCTGATGACTATGATAGAAAAAGTATAGAGCCTTTAACAGACCGTTGGTAAGAATATGAATGCTAAGGGCGTTTCCTGTGAGTGCTCAAAAGGAACTGAGGAAAAGTTTATTGGAAACTAGAGGAAAGGTGATCCTCGTTATAAAGTGGCGTAAAGCTTATTCAAATTGTTTCCAACAGTTGTGTGGAAAGTAGAATCTGTAAGCAATGAATTTGGATATTTAGTGGTGGAAATTTGAGAGCAAAGCGTTGGAGGGATGGCCTAGTTTTTTTGTTTTTTTTCTTGACCTTATAGTAAAATAGAAGAGGAAAGAGATAAATTAAAGAAAGAACTATTAAGCAGAAAGGAAGCAGCACTTGATGATTCAGGAAATTCTGAGACTATTCAGATTGGGGAAAAAAAAAGCTAAAACGAGGAGAGTCACTGTTAGGATAGTGTGCTCTAGAGATAAAGTCAAGTCTGGACAACCTTTGGCCAGTGTGGAAGCGACCAGGCATTTACTCAGTGATCCATTCAACCATCACAACAGACACCAGGAATAGAAATAGGGTTATCTGGCAAAGATCTGTGAGGACTCTCTTGTCTCACTATTGAATCAATGTGATACATACATGGGGAGCCCACAAAGTTTTTGAGAAGGTTATACCAGCAGAAACAGTTCCAGCTTGGCCTGAAAGGGGCAGAGACAGGACTAAATGAGAGAAGGTTGTCAGACTACCAAAATTTTTCAGGCAGGAAACAGGATGATAAAGCTACAGACAGGCGCTACCCTTCAATAGAAAGGATCAACCCAAGGGCAGAGCTGCAGGTTCAGAGGCAGAGACTCCATCCATGGGCCAAGAGGCCAGAGCTGCAGGCCTGAAGGGTGCAGCCCTGAGACAAGGAGGATTATTGTCAGGCCTTGAAACCTAAGGGGGTTCTACTGGGCTGAATTCTGAAAATCAGCAGGACAGGTGACTCCTTTGCTCCATTTTCTCCTTTTTGTAATCGGAATGTCTGTAACTATTATCATATGCCTGTCCCACCATTGTATTTTGCAAGCAAATAATTTGTTGTCTTGTTTCACTGATTCACAGATGGAAAGGAATTTTGCCCCAGGGTTTTCACTTATCCTTGACTTAGATGATTAAGATGATGAAATTCAGGACTTTTGAACTGAGATTTGGATGAGATTTTAAACTTAGGAATGAGACTGTTGGAAATGTTGGGATAGGGTGAATATATTTTGCATGTGGGACAGACATACATTTGGCGGGGTCCAGTGGGCTAAAGGTCACCTCCAAAAAGATACATCCACATCCTAATCCCAAGAACCTGTGAATGATATTTTATTTGGAAAAATGGTCTTACAGATGTCATTAAGCTTAGGGTCTTGACATGAAAGGATCCTGGATTATCTAGGTGGGCCCTAAATTCCAACAGAAGCGTCCTTATGAGAGAGGCATAGGGAAATTAGACACACAGAAGGGAAGGGGATGAGAAGACGGAGCAGAGAGAGATGTGGTTATAACCCAAAGAGTGCCAACAGCCACCAGCAGCTGGAAGAGGCAAGGGAAGATTTTCTCTAGAGCCTCTGGAGGGAGCATGACCCTTGATTTTGGACATCTGATCACCACAATCACAAGGGAATGACTTTCTAATGTGTTTAAGTCCCCAAGTGTGTGGTAATTTGTTACAGCAGCCAAAGGAAACTAATACAACTTGTAAACAGTTTTAAAAAACATTCTGAAGAAAATCTGCATTAAATTGGTGCTTCTCACATGTGGCAGTGATAAACCCAACAAAATACTTTAGTAGCATTTGGTTCTATAATAAGAATGTCACCATGTACCTTTTTTTTTTTTTTGATGATAATTTTCAATCTAAAACAAAACTGCCAACGGCTAGAGCAGGACCATTATAAATCTGGGAATCAAACCCTTTAATTCAGTTACCAGAACTTTGTAAAAGACCCTGAAAGGTCTCATAATGTTTGTGAAAAGCATGTGGGATTACTGTAAATACAAATATATAATTTATCCATAATAGTAGTTCTTTATTTTTCCACAAACTAAAAAATAAGGCAAGTTCACATCTGGAAAAGGTGATATGCATCAGTATTTCTACCCTGACCAGCTTGATAATATGGTGTGGCAAATGCCCCTAAATGTAAGTCAGGGTTAGTATTTCAAAATATCATTTTCTAGCACAAGACTCAAAGAAGCCATACCATGAAGATTTCAGAAAAGCCTTTGTGAAGATAAAAGTCCATAAAGAATTTACATAAATTAGTAGAACCTAAAGCTTTGTTGCTGTTATTGTTAAAAAACAGTGTGTGAAATTGATACATCCCTTGAACTTGTTTGTGTGTGTGTGTGCGTGCGCTAAATGTGTGTGTCTTAAGATAGGATAAAAGTGTAAAATCTCAGATCCTGTTACTCTTTTTGATTTCTCTATTGTAGTAGCTTCAGAGCTTTGTGAAGGATAAGAGCCAAGTGAGAATGCACTGGAGGAAAAGGCGGCAGTTCGAATCACTATACATGTATATAAAGGAAACTGTGAGCTATCGGTCACTTGTTTGCATTATCTCAGGTGGTGACTTGCCAAGCTAGTCGTTTGTTCTTCTGAATGTCTATAATGTGCTCTGGAGGAGTAGAAATAGGATTTTCTATATAAGAACTATACATATAAGAAATTGTTTACAATCATCACAATCACCTGCATGGATTAGCCTTAAAATTGCACTCCGGAGAAGTTATACGACATTACTTCAATGCATATTGAAAAATCACAGACAAGTTAAGTACAACTTTTCCTCCCTCGTCTATTTAAGAAAAATGGAGAGCCTGTGTTTTCCTCCTGGAGTTGTTTTGGCAGCATCATTTTAATTTGTTAGTATAAAGTAAGTAAGTATGATGATGATTGAGAAGTTCACTTAGTCACTGGGAATGTGGAATCATTGTAGCAGGAGATATAAATATATACACATATATACAGATACATACATGTAATTTCTTTTTCTTCTTCAGACCATCAAGGCAGAATTGGAAAGGGGAGTAGGAAGGCAGATAAAACAATTGACCTTTCAGACAGTTTTCTGCTGCCTCCTGCAGAGAGAAATCTTTTTCCTCTCAGATCTCCTAGAACTCTATTCCTTGCCTTCAAGGGGGTCGTGTGAGAAAGAAGCAATAGAGAGAAGAAATAAACCATGGAGGATAGGAATCAATATTTACCTTTAAAAATCTAAATAAAGGGAATAGAATTTGCAGGTTCATCCCTATCAGAAACATTAAGATGTCAGGTTTTTCTCAAAAATAGCCATATAAAGTATTTGTAGAAAGTAGATCTATGTGCATAATTAGAAAATACCTCTTTAAATAAAGTTTCAATCACTTTCTCTAACTGCCTCTGTTAAACTTTGGTTTATTTTTAGCAGTGATAAGTGCCTGCAATATCACGCTGAAACTCTAGATTAATGATAAGTTTAATTTCAGCCAAAGCAGATGAATCCATCAACTTTCACTTGAGATAAGATTCTAAAGAACGTGACGGGGGTGAAGCAGTACTTTTTCTGAGTTTCCAAAAATGGCTTCTCTTACAGAGTGTGCAGGATCAGCGTCTCTCCAGACCGTTAACACACACATTTTCACTGGCCTTTTCCTTTTCTATGTAACAGCAATCAGAAGCAGACATGGACTAATTTCTTTCTGTCCTTTACGTTCTCTTTTCTTCCTTTTTTTGGTGGGGGGTGGGAGAAGGTGACTTCAAATTTGAGTAACATTATACATTTCTGACAGGCTGAATGGTTTTGAAAGCCTGAGAACTCTTCTATTTCTTACACGTTCCATCATCACTGTCAGGCCACACACAATAACTAATAACACACATCTTTGCACTAAAATGGAACACACGTTTTAGAATCCTGATAATTGTGTTCATGTTAGTATAGCTGTGGGAGGAGTCTTGCAATAGCTTTACAAATGCATGCTATTTCATCCAGCCTAGCTTGATATTTGCAGAAATGCACTTATTTCCTCTCCATCCCTTGAGCACATGTTTTGTTCTTTGTTCTTCTCAAAGTGTATGATTTTGTTTACTTAAATATCTTCATGTTCTTTGGCATCAGGCATCACTTAGATGAGATAGCTCCATTGTGGCGAGAGCGTGACCTTTCCAAAGGTGCTCTTCTGTTATCTGTAAGACAAAGAGAAAAAGAACCAAAAACATCGTGAGCTTCAGATCCCAGCTATTACACAATGTCAGGTTTTCAAATAGTCCTGAAAACTCATTTCAAATGAATATGTAAATAAGTAACAAGGAGCCCAGATCTGAGGAGTTCACGCTGCAGCTCCCAGGCTGAGTTCAAGAGTTTGCAATCAGCATTAAATGACTTTTCTTGGTAAGTGAAGTCAGAGTGATAAAAGAAATGGAAGAATTCTCTCAAGCACAGTCCCCTTGGAAATAGCAGGCGACAACAGAACTCCTTGGTAAAGATGTTAAATTGAAAGGATCTGTGTGCAGTGCCTTTTGTTGGAAAGCACTTCAATTCCCCATGAGTTTTCAATCTGTATATTGGCTACCTCTAGAGGACACCAGCGTGGGCAGAGCAAAACAGAGTTTTTATTTTTGACAATGATTGCAGTATGTGGCAATCAAACCAGCTACCAAGTCTTTGCCTGAGTATATGATGTAAACAAATTCAATACATTATATAGTCATTATGGGAATGAATAATGAATAGATCCCATTCCCCTCACCCGTCACAGGAAAAATAATCACTGTAGAGAGAACTGTTGGCACAAAGCTTGGAAAGCAAAGTTTAAAAGCTTTGAAAGTTGCTGAAAATAGTTTTAGCTTTAATAGGAAAAAGGTTTACAGCTCTGCATTGTGATGATCACTACTATGTTATTATCACCTCTGTTTTATGCTCAGCTTAAATGCAGTGGATGTGGGTGAAAATCCCTTTCTGTCAAAAGCATAATATACTTAGATTCTCTATTTAGAATGAGACCAGGTCCCTAGAAATAATGACAACCACCAGCACTTACATAAATGCTAACACTTTACACTCGTTAATTTGCTAATTCACACAACATCCCCGGGAGGTAAGCCCATTTCATTCTATCCTATTATCTCTGCTTTAGTGATGAAGGTTACACAGCAAATCAGTGGTATGATGGGGGCTTATAATGCAAAGTTAATGCCTAAATGTCACACCTGCTTTATTCAAAGGTAGATGTTGGGGCCTCCCAAGCTCCTACTCATTTCCTCCCTAAGATGGTGATACCCAAGGAACACATCCTGCCTGTCCCACTGGGAGGATGGACTGTGACAAATGCTGAGGTTTTGCCATGGGACCTTACTCATCTGTGCTAGTGTTTCTAGACTGATTCCTGGTGGTCTGGTCAGTACACAGAGCAAAGCTAACTGGCCTCCGTGATCTTGGCCTCATTTAACACCACAGTATGCATGCACTGAGCCAACCAGCTTACAATGCTTATAATAAGCTTTAAGGCTTAAAGTGCCTCATAATGTAATAATATCACTGAGAGGTGAGAAAGAGACATTTTCTTTATTCAGAGATATATCCGAGTGATTGATTATTTGGGCATCTTTTTAAAGATACCATTTTAAAAAATCCATTACTTAGTTTGTGATATGCATCAAAATTCGGCTGAAAATGTGAAGATAACATTCCTAGATAAAGGACATATTACTTAGATGTCACTGGGTTGCATACAGGTTGGTTTGGGACTTTTTAGAAAACATTTATAAATGAGATTATGATAGTTACCATTGCATTGCTAGCATTTAAGTATTCAGTGTTAAAGCTTTCAGATGTGAGAATGATGGTACCATTCACAGAGGACTATCCCAGCTCAAAAAAAGCCTTGTGCCTTGATGGTCCTACACGCTAAGGTCAGCTTGCATCCACATTCACTCCAGGAATGCTATTGGTACCTCCTACCATCACTCATTGCCCACTGGATTCAAGGGAAGTATCACACACAGAAACCTAGCCTTGCAGCAATCAACAATGTGGTGTGAGGATTCACATCAACCTGCAACTTATTGCTAGCATCTGGAGTGAGCAAATAAACTTTCAAGGCAAAATGAACTGAGAAAAAAAAACATGGAGGCTTTTGGAAGGCAGCATAAACACTGGTTCAGGGCCCAAATCCAGCTCTTGGTATACACAAGAGAATTTTTCTACATTTCCTCCCTTTTTTCCTTCTCTCCCTCCCCTCTTTCTCTTAAAAAATGTTTATTACCTAATTAGTTCCTATGTTCATGAGATAGTTATAAGAAGAAGCAATTCTGTAAAGGTAACGACTTGTATTTTTGAAATGTCAACCTACAACCTTATTTATGAGAAAAATGCCATTAGAAACAATGGCAGCAATGACTGTTCTGGATTTTTTGTGATTCATTTACTATTCTCTGCATTTGTGTCAAAACTATTTTAGGTACAAAATACAAAATACATATTTATACTTCAGACTTGTACGGATCAGGCCAGAAGTGCAATTGAAAAGATAATATATGTATATATTATATGACTATATATGAAAATAAATATTCACCTCTCATCACATTCTAATAGCTTGCAATCTAATGATAGCAACTTTTCATCCTTGGATTCATGCCTTCTTTGAGGCAGAAACTGAGAATCATTGAATGTTTAAAAATACAATTTCTGTATTTGTATTAAATGCAGATGGGTAAAAATCAGTGGTCTGATCCTCGTAAGGTTAGGACACAGTTGGCATCAAATTTATAAGAAAAGAGCAAATACTAGATATTGCTGCTGTCAGAGGTGATGGAGTAATTTTTTAAAAATTTTTATTGAAGTATAGTTGATTTACAATGTTAGTTTCAGGTGTACAGCAAAGTGATTCAGTTATCCATATACATACATATATATTTTCTCTTTTCAGATTCTTTTCCATTATGTTATTATAAGAAATTGAATATAGTCCCCTGTGCTATACAGTAGGTCCTTGTTTTTTATCTAGTTTATATATAGTAATGTGTGTCTGTTAATCCCCACCCCCTAATTTATCCCTCCTTGCCCTTTCCCCTTTGGTGACCATTGTTTGTTTTCTATGCCTGTGCATCTTTTTCTGTTTTGTAAATAAGTTCATTTGTATCATTTTTTTTTTCAGATTCCACATATAAGTGATATCATATCATATTTGTCTTTCTCTGTCTGACTTACTTCACTCAATATGATAATCTCTAGGTGGTGATGGAGTAATTTGGGTGATTGTGAGACTGGCTGCATTTCCTATTTGGAAACATAGGTGGAGGAGGCAGGTGCCCAGGTGATATGCTTTGAGAGCTCCAGGAGACCCAACTGAAGCAGATGCACTTTTCTAAACAGTCTTATTCTCCCAACACTACTGATACTAGAATAGTTTAGTTGGAAAAAAAAATAGGAGTCTCTCCTCCAAAAAGTCAATAGTTTAAAATATATGTGTTTCCCTGAGATAATGTGGAGGGCTTTGTTAACAAGTAGTAGCTTCCCTTTCCAATCTGCCTTGTTGTGTTTTTGGAAATTAAAGAGAAGAAGATGGAGGGAGGCATCCATCTATGTGTGTCTACTTGTTGGAGATATTGTGCAATGAGATACAGGAAAATATATTTCATTAGAGGTTGAGGGAACATGATTTGTCATAATCTTCCTCTTTTTCCATTTTCTGAATGCATGAAGTAACACGGTGAATAAGAAAGCCTAGAGAGTCTAATATATCCTCATGGTCTAAGAAAGTCTGAGATGTCAGTCCCAAGTTGTACCCTCCAAATCCACTGCAGTTGGGCATACATATCCTAACAGGCTCTCTTTGGTCACTGAAGGCTTGTCTTAGAAATATGCCCCATGTGAAGGTGAAATGATTCTGGTATTATAGACAGTGACCTGGTCATAGTGTGAAATTGAAGACAGGGACATAGTTATATGAAAATGTGCAGTTTTTGGAGGAAGGCGGGGGGGGGGTCCAAACCTAAAACAACATGCCAATCTGTCACAAAAAAAGAGAATAGAAATACATGGTCCAGCTTTAACATGCTTCTGCACATTCTGACTATCAGGTTAACCAGCTCAAGCCACTGCAAGGCTTTCCCCACTGTCATAAGAGCAAGACGCTTTATGCTTTTTCGGAGCATAAATTGATTTGGCATTCATCTCAAAACCTTCCCAACTGAGTCCTGCAGTGAATAGATTAAACCTGTTATTGTATTGCTCTAAAATTCATTCATGCAATCATTTATTCAGCAACTACGTACAAAGCACAGCATCCATGAAATACCTGAATGTCACAAAATTTCAGATCCAGAGCTAAATCTACATCGCTAATTTCCTTCCAACTGAAAACTTTGTCAAGTGAAGTAACTGAGGAATAAGCATATCATAGATAAAGCTTACAGAATATGTGATGTGAGCTAGACTGAAGGACTCAAGGCTGTAGTATGTAGCCTGGGAATGTTCAATTCCTCCTCTAACAAAGTAAGTGTACTCCAAGAACACGGGGCTGTATGTTGTATATTGCATGAGTAGGTCAAGTTGTGATTGCAAACCTGTGATAAAAAGACCATGTCCATTATTCATTTCCCCCCAGGTTAGGTATCCATCTGTTGTCTATGGAAGAACGGCTTCCTTCCTGGTGCTTCACAGGCACGTTAGATGTAGCAATGTTGACCTAATACACAGCAGCTATACCCTCCCAGCAGGGTAACATAAAATAAGTGTGCCTGGCATATACAGCACATTGTGCTACAAAATATCCCATTTTGATGCAAATGAGCTGGCTAGAAAACAAAGTAAAAGAAACCTTCTGTAATTTACTGTGAGCTTTCTTTTCGCCAAAGCTCTTCAAAAATGATGGTGTGGAAGATTGACCTTCAATGGAGAGACATTGTTTCCAGCAAAAAGAGCAAAACAGAGGACTAGGTTTGTGCAGCTCAGGCTAAGAAAACCAAGGAAACTTTAGATTGCTTTTGGAAATGTCTATTGCGTAGCTATTTGCATTCCAAACACTGATGAAAGAAAGATAATTTTAGACTGTTATACTGAAATCATCTCATATGAACTTACATCTTTTTACCCTTTTGTCCCATGATTCCAAATTGTTTTGTTTTTCTGTGCTTTTGGGGACCTTGAGTTGATAAGTTTCTCACTCACTAGAAATGACTGG